ATTCACACCTCTACTTGAACCCGCCTAATACTGGGRATAGGGCATGGAAATTCGAGGATTCTCCATCCTTGATGAGGAGTGGGGTGCCTTGCCCCTGAACTCGCCCGACATTGAGGAGTGGTTACCTTGCCCTGAACCCGCGTGACACTGGGGATGGGGTAGAGTGTCTTGACTATGGGGTAGTTGAAAGGGATGGGGTGCCTTGCCTTGAACCCACCCTGTTGTCATTCCTATATAATTGTTAATTATTAGTGAAATTAATAAAAATGTTAGCTTTTATAATTATTTTTATTTATTTAAAATTAATCAAAATTTCATTTAAAAATAATTAAAAGAACAAAAATTATTAAGATTACTACAAATTATTAAGATTACTACAAATTATTAATAAAACTAAATTTGTTAAAAAATATTTGTTCATATTCAATTAATAATAATWATTTTTTTATAAATCAACATTAAATGAAAAATAAAATTATTAAATCTTTCAGATTTTCCCGTGCATCGCATGGGTCCCTGCTAGTAAATATTTTAAAATTGTTACATAATTTCATTATAATATTTAAATAAATCTTAAATTTTTTAATTCAAACTTTCTTTAGATAGATATAAATCAAAAGTGAGAGAGGATAAATAGGAATTAGAGATAATTTAGGAGAGAAACTCTCTACCTAATTAGAGATAATTTTATAGATAAATAGGAATTAGAGATAATTTAGGGGAAGGTGGGGGATAGTGCTACCACTTGGCTAGATATTATAAAATCAAATCTCTCTTTCTTTCCTTGATAACTAACTCCCTTGCCACATGGCTTAATGGGTGGGCTGGGTAGGGAAGAAAAGGAATGAGAGAGAGAGAGAGAGAGCTAGGAAGGGATAAGGGAGAAAGGAGAGGGCTTCTAACGTGAGGCCTAATCGCTTTATAATATAGTATAGATATATCATATATTATCTATATATTATAATATCTACATATATATATATATATATATATGAATTATGTATATAAATATATATTTATAATATAATAATATATATTCTATTATATTAGTATATATTTATTTATAATATATATTATAAATATAAAAAAATTAAAATCGAAGAACCAAAATGGTAAAAACCAAAACTGGTCAACCAGTTAACTGATTGTATTGGTTCGGTTTCAATTTGAGGAATCACAAAAACTGGCGGTACCTATTCAATTTCAAAAAAGAGTTCAATTGGTTAACCCAACCATGGGCACCCCTATTGTGCATATCATATCATATTGAGGGTCTTGGAAACTATAAATGTTGAGTGTAGGCATTTTAATGGTTTTTGTCAAGTTGTGCCTTGAATTCTTTGTTGTGGCCCAATCCATGATTTAACCTGCATTTGTGGAGAAAAACCCAAAGGGAAATTTTCATTGAGGTTAGTAGACAAAAATTGAGCTTTTTACGAATTATTCGAGCTCGACTCATGAAAATTTTGATTTAGCTCAGTCTAAATCAAGATTCAAGCCAAGATAAAGCCTAATATATAAGATGATTTGCTAATCAARCTAAGCTTGAACTTAATGAAGCTTAAGCTTGCAAGCCTAATTGTCTTGAATCCACCCCTAATTGAGGTCCAACTTGAATATGTTATGTTATGCTATCAAGGTTTTTTCTTTTATGTATCTTTTGATTTGCACATAAAGATAGAGCAAGTTTGAGAGTGAGAGTTGAGGTGTATTTGAGTTTATGTAGGGGTGCAACTTGGGCAGGCCCAATTCGAGCTCGAACCAACTTAGTCTATAATTTTAGATGGCCTGTGCCTAGCCCAAATGTTCGGGATTTTTAATTTTTTTGGTCCGGACTTAAACTTAGCCCTCAGGTATCCCAAGCCTAACTTGAGCATATATGCATACATACATATATACATACATACATACATGTATATCAACTTTTAGTGTCGCTGACCCCAACCCAAATGAGTCAAATTTTAGTGTGGGTTGGGCATAGATTGGATAATACAGTTTTGACCTTGGGCCTGGGCCAAGCTTGGGCTTTATGTCCAATTCTTAGGGTTCGGCCAAAATCCGACCAGCTTGCCTGACTTGCACTCCTAGGCTTAGGGTTTTCTGTATGAGAGAAAGGCTTCTCAACCATTGTACATTTCCTTGCTGTTTCTGTAGTGGATTTCTACTCTTCCATCACATGTAAACAGTGGTGGAGCGAGGAATTATCTTTTGGGGGTGCTAAGTTGAACAAGAAAATGAGGTAGGGAGCAGAAAGAGGGAGGGGAAGGACCCAGTTTATTACATTTTTGACCCAACCTCCCATTAGTAACCATAGATAATGGTGGGGGGTGGGGGCAAGGACCCCCACCAATATACTTGGCTCCGCCCCTGCCTGAAAAAATAAGGTATATGCTAAACCACATAAGTTTTGTGTGTTTTTTTGAGTTTAGGAGTGGACTGGATTTGAGCCAAGTTAAATATGCAGCTATTTGAGCTTTATCTCCGTGAAAAAACATGACACTCGACTTTGGGGTCAAACTTAAAACATGAGCTCGAATTCAGCTCAACTCAAAAGCTCATACGTTCAAATTCGTCTCAGCTTAAGCTTGATAATGAGTCAAGTGTTATATAAAATATAAAAAAATCATACATATAAACATTAAAAATTATTTACTGTTATAAATATTAAAAAAAAAAATATTATACATGATATAACCTTGAGTAGGGGAGCTTCACAAGCTGGGTTCAAGTTTGGCTTGAAGCTCAATTTAAACAAAGTCAAATTGAATTTTTCATGAGTTGAGCTCGGATAACTTGTAAAAAGCTCAATCTTATCCACCCCTAATTGAGCTCATCTGTATTGTATTTTTTTTTTCTTTCGTTTTTATCCAATCAATTTCAGATATTGAGTTACCATTTTGCAACAACAGTGCCCATCCTGACATGCCTATGTATGAAATATCATACTAAAAATTCGAAAAATTATTGCTTATTCAAAACATACATTAAACTTTACGAATTGGATAAATCTATGATTACACTTTGAAGCTCCATTTGTGTGAAGTTTGAACCAAAATTCACTTGGCAGAAATTAATCTTGTAACTACGATGCAACTTACTACCACTTACGATTACATGTGGAGAGACTTTTGTGTAGGCATACTAAGAGGTAAGAGGTAAAGAAATTATAGGCGCCATGTTCCTTTTGTTGAAAGCTCATCATCATAAATTTTGGGCCTAGGTCTGGTCCAACCCGATTATGATGAGTGGTAAAATTATCAAATTTCTCATTTTAAGGGCATGTTTGATTCACAGGAATAGGGGTTTGGAATTAGAATTGGAATGAACCTTCCAATTCCAATCGTTTGATTGGGTAGAATCAGAATCTCAATCCCATTCTTGGTGGGATGGCATTCCGCCATTTAAAGGAATGGCCATTCTCTCACCCCTCCCTTGAGAATGAAATCTCATTCCAGCTGATTTTAATTCCCATTTCAATTCCTATTTAAACCAAACAAACAGTGGGAATAGACCATTCCAACTCCAACAAATTTTGATTCCGATTCCTACTGCAAACAAATGGACCCCAAATTCTTTTTATGTAGTCCTGAAGATGAATTTGTTGAGCTGGTGTTGGAGAATGGTCAGATTTTGATACAAGGTCAGTTTGGTAGAACTTGAAAGAGTCCTTCATAAAACGGTCTCATAAAATATGTAAAGGGTAATTTTGTGATTTTGAAATGTTTCAAGGCACATATAACATCAAGTGCAGAAGATAACTGGTGGAATGCTAACAGCCAGACTCGAGTGTTTATTTTTGAAAGTTAAAGGTACTTGGTTGTTGCACTTGAAAGTCAAGGTCCTTAAATGTCACTATCCCAAAGTATAAGATACCTATCTATAATTTTCTCTTTATATTATATAAGCATATAAACATTTAAATCAAATCAAATCAGATAGGAGTGGATCCGTATTTGATCTAATTATAAATAGATCAAATTCAAACCACCACTATACTAACTGGATCAAATTTGGATCAAACATTACTCTAATTTATGAAACAACATGAATTTGAAGTTAAAGTAGGACCCACAAAGTAAGTTGATTTTTCCCTAAATCAAAATTTAGGGAAAATTACAGATGGCCACCATGTAAATGATGAAAATAACAATTTTAAAGGACAAATTGCTCTAAGGGTGTTTCAAGATGAATTTTGTTGAAAGAAAGCTGAGAGAAACAGATGAGAGTTAGGTCTTTAGAAACACTAAGCTAGTGTTCAGTATTGTGGTAGATACCCATTTCATTTGGTTTTGGAATATGCCACAGAAAATATTTGTTCTTTTTAGCCATGGTGTGTTCTAAAGCATAAAATATTGCAAATTTTGGAACAAACCAAAATCTCTATACCAAAACACACCACACCTTGGAACACTCAATAAACATTGACTTTGAATATTTTTACAAAACTATTTCTATATTTATTTTCCAATGCTTTAGAACACACCAAACCAACATATGTTAGAACATTGCTAGAGGTGCAATGAGTTCCAAAGCCTATCATTTCAAACACATTAACACACCACACTTTTTATAGCTGGGTATAGAACACCCCCTAAGCTAAAAAGGGCAAAATGGTTTTATAAAAAAACATAATGGTAGTTTGGGGTTTTAGAATTGCTTAAAGGAATAGTAACAACAGGGGACAAAGTGCTAGAATCTAGAAATTCAAGGGGTCTCTGTTGCAAAACAAAGTTTGAGAGTTTAAGTGCCACTACCCCCCAAGTACAGGGTGGATGTTTGTAGTTTACCCTAAAATTCATTTAGCCCCCCTGGGTAATTTAGCCCCTTTTCTGAGTGGAAGGCTAAGAACAGGTCATTACAAGCATTGGTTTAACCAAATATCTTCTGGTAATATATGGAAGAAGATTTTTATTAATAAGCTAAATGATTTAATAAGATCTTATCAGGATGAGTTGAAATAACTGATCCTATTATACAGGTTCTTGTATGGTAGGACAATTTTATATACATTTTGCATCCACCAATAGAGCTTTTGGAGTGCCTGAACATGGATCCCCACCAAATGCCTTGATTGACTGAGGAATAGAGCAGTGCCTTCTCCCTAAACAAGCCTGAAAATTTATTGCAAGGAAAACAATTAAAAATTCAGATTTTCAGGTGAAATATCATCTGAAATAGCATCATAAAAGGAAATTATTTTAAATATTCAGACTCGAATCTTGATCATCTTTATAAAAAAGAGAATTAATAGAAGCAGAATATATAGAGCCAGAGCACTTACCTTCTCAACAACTGCTTTGGAATTAGAGGAGTGACAACTTCCAATGGCATAACTTTTACAGTCACCAGACGGGTTTCCAAAGCTTGCAAATAAAATCTTTGAGATGATCCTTCCATGAGGACATTCAATTTGAACACTTCTCCTTTTATGGTGTGTTTTGTGTTGTCCACCACCCCATGAAGCCACTGGGGGCAAATGAGATTCTGACACATGTCCACATACTTTAGAGATTGTAACAGTGTCCAAGGTGATATGAAGAGGGTCCCCACCAAATTCTTCTAACAGGACCAGGAGGTTCCCTGAAGGTTTGATAAATGACCGAGGCACATGGTACCTAAAAAACAATATGGAACATTAGTATTAACAACAAAAATATTAAATCTGTAACCTGTAAAACAGACTGAAAGTAATAGAAGAGAGAGAGAGAGAGCTTCATGTACATACAATGCCTGAGAAGGAACTCCTCCGTCAGTGTGAAATGAGACCCAATAACGACCGATGCTTTGGCCATTAACCCAAACTTCACCTTTGCTCATAGTGCTCAAGTTTAGAACAACTGGATCATCTCCAGCTGGTGCATCAAATGTAGTCTGCCAAGTTGTCAATTAATTTACAAATGATTAGAATGAATCTCATCATCATCACCAGCCAAGCCTTATCCTAATTACACGGAGTCGGCTACATGAATCCCATTTTTCCATCTGTTCTGTTTAGTGCCATATCCATTGCTAAATTATGGGCGATTAGATCATTTCTTACTAACTCAACCCATGTCCCTTTTGGTCTACCCTTAGCCCTTTTAAGTTCCAAACCCTTCAACTTGCAAAAGAACACTTCTTATGGGTGTTGACAATAGCCTTCTATTCACTTGAACAAATCATCTTAGTAAACTTTCTCTCATTTATCACCTATTAGAGCTACTTCTAGGTTCCTTCAAATGACTTTATTTCTAAAACTATTCTTTCTATTTTTTTCCATTCATCCATCTCGGCATACGCATTTCTGCTACATTCATTTTTTGCACATTTTGTTTGTTGAATGCCCAACACTCTACTCTGTATAGCATAGCTGTACTTAAAACTATTTTGTAGAATATGGTTAGTATGAATCCAATTTGTGTAAATGGGTCACAGCCGCAAGTGAATCTTTTTAAAAATTTTATGAAATATAAGTCAAGCAGTGTCATAGAATTTGGAATAATTGATAATAATCAGTTTTCTCTTCTCACTTTTGAATGTTGACAGGATAAATGAGTTAAACCTGATTAACATAATTATGAATGTTTTTTTCATTTAATGTTGTGTTAGAATAATTGACTAATAAATCAACATTATTGTTACTTTTCCTCCATATTATGCATTTGAAAGGTCACTAAAACTAAAACAATAACAGAAGTGAAACTTAAATTAAAATTGTACCTTATACCATGTAAGGGGTGGTTTGTAGGTTCCAAGATTGTTCCATTGAACTTCACTGGAGCTTTCTTCATTGTATGCTCGAAACTTTTCCCCCACTAGCCCCACCTGCATGACATTGATTAAATAGATAACATAAGCATTGAATGAAAGTGACATTTCACAAGGGTTTATTCAACAAATTGCTGAACCATGTTAAATTTTGTGGTTTGTTCTGTGTTTGTGATTTCTTTAGCACAATGGTTTATGGATCATGCATATTTCATTTAACATGCACGTATTTAAGAAATCTGGGAATAAAATATGATGAATTCAATTACATCAAAGCTAAAGGAAACCATAGTTTTGCCTAAAATCTTTCCAAAATTACATAAAATATTGGAAAAATTTTAAAACCTTGAATGCAGAATCAAAAGTAAGCATTCAATTTAGATTAATTAGGATGGTCATGCACATTCTTCAATGTATTAAAGTTTTCTCATTTATTAGTTGAAGAAATAACCTGATATCCCCATTGGTACTTAGAGAAATCTTGAGATCCATTTCCAATGCCTTGAATTTTCACTCCACGTAATCCAGCAACTCTATGCTCAAGATATGCTCCTGAATTCTTAATATGGTGAATAAAAGTAGCGAGTTAATTGATAATTATAGGAAATTGTCTGAGGGAAGAGGGAGGGAGGAGAAAGAGATGAGAGGGAGAGAGAGAGATTACCGGTAATCCAACCATGACACTTAATAGTGAAACATCAGTCATCCCATTACTTAATGAGATTGAAATATTAAGGCTAGATCCTGGATTTTTATAACTTCCATGTGCAGACCCTAGAGAATAACCCAGAAAAAGGAAAAGAAAATTATCCATTGTCAAGATTTTGTTGTAAGAATAGTACTGCAAAACAACTCGATTGAATACATCCATTCTAAAGTTAATTTATAAATGTGTATATGGTTAACAAGCAAATATAAATTATTTTCTTCCAWATATCATAGTAAAGATGTATAAATAATGTCTTCTGACCTATAAATACTGTTAGAGCTAGCCGAATAAGGGTAGATTAATCATTCTATTTCTGTTAAGTTATGTACTTGTGTGACAGTTTTAATAGAGACTTCCTATCACATACTTAAGTGGGGGGCAGTTTAGTCTTTGTACAACTAATTAGAGGTTAATCCATATTAGGGTCGACTGATAGGGTTTATGCTATCAGATTTGACTGTTCTTCTTCTTCTTCCTTCTTCTTCTTCTTCTTCTTCTTCCTCTTCTTTCTCTCTTACTCTCTACTGGTTCGAACTACTTAAACAGAGCTGTCAAAACATGGTATCAGAGCCATAAATGAAGGAGAAGAAGGCTGTGACTTCAAGATTTCCTTCCTACGGCTTCAAGTTCTCTCTCTTCTTTTCCTTCTTCTTCTTCTCTGGGCTGCGAATCTGAGGTACACAATCTGATAGCTGCAGCATCTGTTATTTATTTTTTGTTTTAGGACTGTCGCAATCCCTATTACATGTATTAGGAATGTTCGGCAACCCTAGGATATCAGCCTAATACTGCTGTCACCATGTGTGACAGCCCTAGTCGTGTGGTGGTGCTTGTGGTGTTTACCCTCTACTGAACAATTTCAAGAGGGTTTGTGTGTGGTTTCTCGAGTTGTTGCATTGTTGTCATGGTGACTACTATTTCTGGGTTGTCAGTAGTGGTGTGAACATAATTTTTTTTTTTGTGTGTGTGTGTGGTTTCTTGAGTGTTGTGTTGTTGTAATGGTGCCTAATATTTCTGGGATGTAGTAGTGGTGTGAACAAAAAAAAATTGTGCTGAAAGAAGTGGTCGAATACCTCAGCCTAGTAGCTTTCATCAATGTTCTAATCTGGATGGTAGCCGAATCTGGTCAAAACACCCAGTTCTTAACCTTAATGTTAGCCTACATCAAGTTGTTGATTGTAACTAGTTGTGAGATTGTTATCAGTGTGTTGTAGTGTTGCCTTGACAGTAGTAGTTGGTTGGTGACTGAGAGTTCAACATTAGAGATAGCAGTGGGGGACATAATGGCAGCAACGGGAGATGGTTCCAGTGATCAGAAACCGAGTGTGATGATCCCCTCCGACTATTTGGGTGTGCAAATGACATCCATTAAACTTAATGGTGAGAATTATGCGCCATGGGCCAAGTCAGTGGAAGTTTTTCTCAAGGTAAAGAGGAAAGTGAAACATGTGAAGGAAGATAAACCATCAGCTGACTCTCCAGGGTTTGATGACTGGGAACAGGAAGATGCCCAAATCATGACATGGTTATGAAATAGTATGGAACCCAAAATAAGTGCCAACTTTATGTTCTTAGATACAACTAAGGACATATGGGAACATGCCAAGAAGCTTTATTCTGAGCAAGATAATACTACATGGGTATATCAACTCTATCAGGAGTATTTCGATCTGCAGCAAGGGAATAATACCCTAGAAGAGTACTATGCCAGTATGAAGAACCTCAGAAATGAACTCAATGTCTATCATCCCCTCACTCCAGATGTTAAGGTCCAACAACAATAGAGGGAACAACTAGATGTCACTAGGTTCTTAGTGGGGTTGAAATCAGAATATGAACCAGTTAGGGCCCAAATATTAGGAGGCTCTACTCTTCCTTCACTTGAGGAAGTTTTTGCACGGCTTCGTATGATTTCTTTGGGATCTACAGAGAGTCCCACATAGTCTGGCAGATCAACATTTGTGATAGCTAGAGGAGGTGAACGTGGTACTAGAGGGGGAGGACATGTCTCCCGAGGAGGTCGTGATGGTTCCGTATTTGGCCGTGGTGGTGGTCGTGACTCAAGGGGAGGCCGTGGTAAAGGAAAAAGTAACTCTACAAGGAAGTGTACCCATTGTGGCAGGGACGAACATTCAGTGAATTTCTGTTATGATCCCCATGGCCCTCTTTCTACATGGGCTAATCATGTAGTAGCTGGTGGGGTTGATGTCAGTGATAACCAATAGGCAGATCTAACACCTTCTACATCTACATCTGTTTCCAGGAAGGATATGGTGAGTGTACCATGTGATGAGTATGAAAGGTTTCTCCAAGCTACTTCACAGCATACTGCAACCACCCTTGCCTACTCAGGTATAGCTTGTCTGGCATCCAAACCCTCTCCATGGATTATTGACTCTGGAGCATCTGATCACATGATCGAGACTCCATGTGTGTTCTCTTCCCTCTCTGAAACTTTCACATCTCAAACTGTTACCCTTGCCAACGGTTCCTCTTCTCCCATCCGTGGTAAAGGAAAAAGTAACTCTACAAGGAATTGTACCCATTATGGCAGGGACGGACATTCGATGAGTTTCTATTATTATCTCCATGGCCCTCCTCCTACATGGACTAATCATGTAGTAGCTGGTGGGGTTGATGTTAGTGATAACCAACAAGCAGATCTAACACCTTCCACATCTACATCTRTTTCCGGGAAAGATATGGTGAGTGTACCGTGTGATGAGTATGAGAGGTTTCTCCAGGCTACTTCACAGCATACTACAGCCACCCTTGCCTACTCAGGTATAGCTTGTCTGGCATCCAAACCCTCTCCATGGATTATTGACTCTAGAGCATCTAATCACATGATCGAGACTCCAGGTGTGTTCTCTTCCCTCTCCGAAACTTCCACATCTCAAACTATTACCCTTACCAACGGTTCCTCTTCTCCCATTTGTGGTGTTGGTAATGGTGACACGACTTCTCTTTCTTTATCATCTGTTTTATAGTCCCTAAGTTTCCATTCAATCTTATTTCTGTTAGTAAATTAACCAATACTCTTAATTGCTCTATTACATTTTCCTTTCCTTTTGTGTTTTTCAGGATCTCAAGACGGGGAAGAAGATTGGTGGGGAGCATGAGGCTGGTGGATTGTATTACCTTTGACGGTGGTGGATCGTCAGTTGCACCTCAGACTTCACTCACTCCTCTACAGTGGCATTGTTGACTGGGACATCCATCTCTCAAGGCACTCAAGATACTGGTTCCGTCCTTGAGTCATTTGTTGTCTTTATTGTATGAGTCATGTCAGTATGGGAAACATCATCGTGTTCCCTTCAGTCCTAGAGTTGAAAGTCGTATGTTGAGTCCTTTTGCTTTGGTTCATTCAGATGTTTGGGGTTCGATTAAAATAGAGACTTATAATGGTTACAAGTATTTTGTCACTTTTATCGATGATTGTTCAAGGATGACATGGATTTATTTAATGAAAAAAATAAGTGAATTATTTTCCATTTTTCAAAAATTCTATGCTGAAATACATACACAATTTGGTGTTCCAATCAAAGTTCTTCATTCAGATAACGGTCGTGAATACTTTCTTACTTCCTTTCAACAGTACTTAGAACAGCATGGCGTCACTCATCAAACTTCATGTGCATCCACTCCTCAACAAAATGGGGTGGTTGAACGAAAGAACCGTCATCTTCTTGAAATTGCCTGGTCTATTCTCCATCATATGAGTGTTCCTAAATGATTTTGGAGTGATGTTGTACTTACTGCGTGTTTCCTTATTAATCGGATGCCCTCCTTCATTCTTCATGGTCRGTCTCCCTTTTCTATTTTGTTCCCCACCTTCTCTCCCTTTCCATTAACACCCCACATCTTTGGTTGTGTGTGCTTTGTTGACAATCTGAGTCCTAGGATAGACAAGCTGGATGCACGCTCTATTAAGTGTGTCTTTCTTGGCTACTCTCAGACTCAAAAAGGGTACAAGTGTTACAATCCCATTACTCGGAAGTGCTATGTCTGTCCTAATGTCACATTTTTTGAGTTTGTCCCCTTCTTCTCAGGAACTGAAGCATTGGTGTCTCCACCTTTGCTTCCTCTTCCTCTTCCAGTCAGTGATCCCGTTTCGGTTGTTCCAGTTGGAGTTGACCATTCACCTCCTCCAGTGCAGATCCCTACTGAACGACCACCAATCTGGCACGTGTATACTCATCAACAGACACAGGCTCCTCCTCCAGCTTCTACCTTGTCTGCGGATCCGGTTGTTGCTCTTGTACCAAAACCTTCAGGACTTGATCTTCCCATTGCTTTACGGAAAGGTAAACATAGTTGTACCCTCCGTCCCATTTCCAATTTTGTTTTAGTCTCTCGCCTTTCCGCTTCACATCATCAGTTTGTTTCGTTGTTGTCATCTATTTCTATACCTAAGAATGTCCAAGAGGCTCTTAGCTCACCTGAGTGGCGGTAGGCAATAGAGGAGAAACTCTTTGCCCTTCAGCATACTCAAACGTGGGAGCTCACTACTCTTCCTCACGGTAAGCATGTTGTGGGTTGTAAATGGGTGTATACTGTTAAATACTTGTCGGATGGTAGCGTGGAGCGTCTGAAGGCCAGACTTGTTGCTAAAGGTTATTCACAGTTGTATGGGGTGGACTATATGGAGACCTTCTCTCCAGTGGCTAAGATTGGCTCTGCCCGTTTCTTAATTTCCCTGGCAGTTATGTATGATTGGCCATTGTTTCAACTTGACATTAAAAATGCCTTCCTTCATGGTGACCTTATGGAGGAGGTATATATGGAGCAACCACCTGGGTTTGTTTCTCCGGGGAGGATGGTAAGGTGTGCAGACTGAAAAGGGTAATTTATGGGTTGAAACAATCGCCTCGTGCTTGGTTTGAAAAGTTTAGTAAAGTGGTGAAGAATTTTGGAATGAAACAATGCTAGGTTGACCACTCGGTGTTCAACTATGATTCAGAAGCCAAAAAGATTTTACTAGTGGTCTATGTGGATGATATTGTCATAACTGGTAGTGACAAATTGGGGATCGATAAACTAAAGGTCTTTCTACAAAACCATTTTCAAACAAAAGACCTTGGGACATTGAAGTATTTCTTGGGTATAGAAGTTGCTAGATCAAAACAAGGTGTAAACCTGTGCCAAAGAAAATATGTTCTTGATATGCTAGATGAAACAAGGCTGTTAGGTGCAAAACCGGCTGAAACTCCCATGGAGCCAAATGCTAAGTTGAGTAGTGATACAAGGGAAATTTGATGATCCTGGAAGGTATAGACGGTTAGTGGGGAAGCTGAACTATTTGACTATCACGAGACCAGACATCTCCTTTACAGTCAGTGTGGTGAGCCAAGTTTTGTAGAACTCTCGGATACCTCACTAGGATGCAGTTCTTAGAATTGTAAGGTACCTAAAGGGAGCTCCAGGCTGTGGGTTATTGTACAAACCAGGAGGAAGACTTGAGGTAATTGGGTATACAGATGCAAATTGGATAGGCTCTGTGTCTGATAGAAGATCTACTACAGGTTACTGCACATTTCTTGAAGGAAATCTTGTGACATAGAAGAGTAAGAAGCAGATGGTTGTGGCAAAGAGCAGTGCTAAAACCGAATACAGAGCCATGGCACACACTACATGTGAATTAGTATGGCTGAGGAATCTCCTACAAGAAATTGGGTTCTCCATGAATAGACCTATGAAATTGTACTGTGACAATCAAGCTGCACTCCACATCTCATCTAACCCTGTTTTTCATGAGAGAACAAAACACATAGAGATTGATTGCCACTTTGTGAGAGAGAAGATCCTTACTAGAGAGATAAGCACAGAACATGTGGGCTCAGGTGATCAATGGGTAGATTTTTTTACAAAAGGCTTAAGCTCAAGGAGAGTGAACTATATATGTAACAAGCTGGGATTATATGACATATATTCTCTAGCTTGAGGGGGAGTGTTAGAGCTAGCCGAATAAGGGTAGATTAGTCATTTTATTTCTATTATGTGCTTATGTGGTAGTTTTAATAGAGACTTCCTGTCCTATACTTAAGTGGGGGGCAGTTTAGTCTTTGCACAACTAATTAGAGGTTAATCCATATTAGGGTCGACTGATAGGGTTTATGCCATCAGATTCGRCTGTTCTTCTTCTTCTTTCTCTCTTACTCTCTACTGGTTCGAACTACTTAAACAGAGCTGTCAAAACACATAAGCAAAAAAAAAAAAAAACATTTCTACTTTCAATGTCTCAATTGGATATAATCCTGAATTTATGGCCAATAACAGTGAAGCTAAGTTTCCAATTGTTGTAAAAAAAGGAAGTTATGGATAATTTCTACTTACCAATGTATGTCTTGTTGAGAAAAGCATGAACAACATGTCCAAGGGAGTCAACTTGAAGCAAAGACTGATCATCAGAGGAGTTATTCTGAAAGCTGCATTGTTATATCTAAAAGTAACATCAGTAATCAGGTCTCAACACTTTCTAAACTGCTGATATTTATAATTTTTCATGTAGTGTCTCTTAATATAGTAGTATGTTGTAGATAGAAAACAAACCATGCTAAACATAAATGACTATAATGTATTGATATGTTTTATAAGATAAATTATTGATGTAATTGTTCTTTACCTGAAAGTGTACCAAAGATAGTCAGATACATCTTTGGTTGCATCCATGTGATCTAATAGCATATCTGCAGTTATTGATGTTTCCTCAAATTTGGGAATAACCTCCCTAAATTCCTTCCACTGATCAGATGAGTCAAACTTTTGGCTTAACTCAGTTGATCTTGCACTATACTGTGTGCTTACCTGTTGAAATAGTAAAGGGAAAAGAATCATATTCCTAGCTTTAATATAATTACTTGGATTTAGAGCAAATAATAACTGCCAAATTGCAGAGTTATTTGTTCAAAATTGAGATAATGGCTCAACCCAAACTTAAGATCATTGGGGGAGGGGGGTGTCACCTTTCTTGTGTTGAACACTACATTCTTGCAATCTGGTAAAGTACTAATTGATTGTTGAGGTAGCTCATATGATAAATTCTGGAAGTTCACTTTAGCAATTACTGCATCATTGTTTACCAGAAACGCAGAACATTCTCCTGATTCTCCTTGGAAAATATGAGCCTTAACAGAAGTGGATASAAAAAGTTATTACTGTGCATTCACAGAGGGTGAGAGAGAGAGAGAGAGAGGGAACAATAATAAATGTAATAATAGATCATAGGTCACTTTCCTTAGTTCTCACCTCTTGTAGATTTCCTAATGAAAAGTTAGTGTGTGTTCCCCAAAGCAGTGGTTCAGTGCATAACTTTATTGCAGAATGCAATTCCTTGAGATGGCCCCATTTTGGTTGCCTAACCAAACCTACATTTGTCAAATAGATGAATTGAATTCTCTTTTTATCCTTTTTCACAACAAAGTTTGGGTTTTAATCAAAAAGAGAAAAAGGGATATAGTTAAGTTATAAGATACAAAATGCTAGTCTCCTACCATACTCATCAAGAGGAGCTTGATCATAATAACTTGTTGTTACATAAGCAGAGCCTGTTCTCCCAAAATTTGTTCCTCCATGATACTATACATATAGAGTTGTAGTAACGTCAGATACATTTATGTACAAATATAAGTCAAAACTAAACCATCTCTGATAGGTATCTTGTACTAGTGAAACACATGTTTAACATATGTAAAAGAGATGACAATTCTTGGCTCCTTTGCAGAAGGGTTCAGATTTGACAGTTATTAGCCTGATTTAGAATAACCTTCCCCTTACCCAACCCAACCTGGCATTTTACAAACTAACCCAGTTAATGCAGGAGAAACCTGTTACAAACTCTGGATCTCCTACACCTTTGTCTTGAACTTCCATTCAGTCTCAGCTATCACAGACAGAATGTAAATGCAGGAGAAAAGTATAGGAGATCCAGACCCCCTATTACAAGAAAAACAGGGACAAAAAGTACTCCCAGTATGCAAAATTTGACTATACATAATCCATACAGGAGTATTGGGCCAAAGAGTATTTCTCAGTTGTATTCAAATTTGGAAAGCATTGAGAAACCTGATTTGGTGATATAAAAACTGAGTTTTACAAGGTCTGTATTCAATTGAATTAGAAAATTGAATTTTGAAAGGATCTTCTATGGATGTAGGCACAAATTCTTGAACCACAGTAAACATTGTGCTTTTCACTATATTTGTGTTTTCTGTCATGATTTATTGGATTCTGATATAACAAGTAGCCTGACAAAAAGATGATTTAAAATCAGATTCAGATTCAAATTAGGTTGGGAATTTTCCAACAAGACCTCCATTGCTGCCCCCACTTGCATATCACAATCCCTTAAAATGATAGAAAAAGGCCAAAAAACAGTTGGTTGTTAAAGATTAAAAGCATCATACCATGTAATAGTTTATATAACTTCCCTTCTTTGCAGCAATAAAAAGTGCAACATGAAAGGCAATATCTTCAGCAGACCTTATGTAAGGTTTACCACCAAATACTTGAAAGCTTAGATGGAAGGAACACAGAAAAAAGAAAAGGGTATTAGTTAATCCAAAGCATGAAATAATTAAATAAGCAACTTCATTTGTACCAAACAAACAAAACAGTAAAGAACATCACTTTAACACAATACACAGTGGGTCATTAAGTGAAGACATACAAAGAAGTCCAATTTTCTGTCCATATTGATGGCTTATTAGGTGAATTGGGCCCTGCAAATGTCTGTCCACACATCATCCCATTGCATGCATTGATCTGCACATAGTGAAGTTAACTAGAATGAGACTGTAATAGCCAAAAGGCAAATTAAAACCATCTAGAAGTTCAAAGGGTGATGAATTTATAAGAAAGTAGAGTACTAACCACTGGATCAGGAGCATCATCTTGCTTGCACATCACCCATGGGACCCCAGTTTGGAGCCCCACTGCCATTTGTGCAGCCCAGCGGACATAAGCTGGTCCTTTCTCATGGAAAGATCCTTCCACATTCTTGTATTCATTCTCAATCTATGCAAAAATTCAATTCTCAAACCCATTAAACAAGCAGCGGCAGAAGAAGAAGAAGAAGATGCTACCAATCACCCATGTCCTAGCCTTACCTGTGAGAGTATGATTGGACCTCCTTGTGAAGCATATAACTTCTCTTCTTTCATCAAGTTTACGATCTTGGTTGTGAAGTTTTGCATGTAACACTACAGAAATAAATCAACATGCAGAAATTGAAGTGTTAATTTTGTAGCTGACGACAATATTTCTTTTTTAGTTTTTTTAAGCTAGCATTGACCACAATTATCTTTGCTATATAATTCTGATACTTCCCTTAACCTCATATCAAGAAGATGATCCCAAAATTTTATTCCATTTATTTTTCTCTTTTCCGACTCATCTCTCTCCTCTTATATGTGCATTTTCACATGCCACTCAACTAATACACCATAAAGGGTATAGCAAAAGTGGAATAAAACCTAAATTAATGAAAGATGAGAAAATGTCAAAAGCAGTGGCATCTAAATCTTTTATCTAATTTTCTAGGGAAAATTGTTTTATTTATTTATCTATTTTTAGGTCAACATTATATTATAGCATGTACTTAGGAGAGGAGAATTATTATTATACAAATAAATAAGATGGTTGTTTAATCTACTATTTTCATCTTGAGACTTTGTAACCTTATTCTCCTTTGAAAATTTATACACTAAATTATGTTTATTTTGACTATAGCATGCAAATACTTGTTTTAACTTCACCTCCAAGTCATAAAAGTTAAATCATATATTAGTAATAACCTTTAATGTCAATGCTTATATATAATAGTTGTCCAAATAATTTAAAATTTAAACTATGACGCAATTACTGATATTGGTTGCACGTTAAATTTAGATTTCAATCAATCATGTCAAAACGATCCCAGATTCCTTACTCACTTTTCCTATCCACTCTCTACCCGCCGTGAATTGCAAACACATCTCTTAATTCATAATAGAGATGTGTGGCTCCAATTCATGGTGGGTAAAGAATGGATAGGAAAAGTGACTAGGAAATCCGAGTGTGTTAAAACATCTTATTATTTTAACAAAACGTAAACAACAAATATCATTGGCTCACGTCTTTGATGCACCGTTCAATGAATGCATCGAGATTTTGCCATAATTTAATCTCTAAATAAGAAAAATAAATCTTTCTGACCTTTTTATTTTAACTTAAGCTTGCAATGTGCATGGCAAGTTGAAGTTTCAAATTTGAAGGCATGAGAAAGGGTGAAGTATTAGAATTTGATGTGATGAGAAATGAAAAACGTTGCAAATAGTAGCACTTGCCTTAATTTACTATATTGGCAAAACTGCAAAAACTTCCAAAGTTGGGGCTGTTTGATAACAGTTGACGCGATTGAACCGAATAACTTGTCACCTTGTCTTATAGGCTGTGTTTGGTTGCGGTGCAATTTTATTTGTATTAGTATAAATGTATGAGAGTGCAAATGAAAAAAAAAAGTGTAAATTTTGGTTTAATTTTATTTTAATTTGGATTTGCTTATTTTACTTCATTTGTCTGCAACCAAATAAAATAAGATAAAATTTGAAACAAAAATAAATCAAAATTTACATCCAAAGCATTTGCATTGCCATAATTTCGCATCAATGCAAATGAATTTACACTGCAACCAAACACAGCATTAATAACTAATAAGTCAAGGAAGTTTTGGCTTCTGAGCTCATTAATACTCAATACCCTTAAATATTTTTATTAATTACTTAATTATTTATCTATCAAAATTTCATTTCTCCCACTTGCCTTCCTTCACGTCGAAACCACCATGCAAAAAATCTAATGTATATTTTTCGTCCCTCCCGACACTCTCTTAATCTCTTTATTCATTTATTTTACTCTATATTCATCTCTCCCTGTTCTTCTCTCTCTCTCTCTCCGCTCTTTCATCTAAAAGGGCAAAAATGTTTTCAAGGCTAATTAAGTTTGTAAAGAATAAATACAAACATATATGAGCAGTGCAAAATCTTGCATTTTATATTTCTAAATTTGCACTGCATATATTTTGTATTAGCAGTTTTTCCAAATTGGGGGTGATCATTTGATTTATCAAATAAACCAAAATTTTAAAAACTAAATTAAAAAAATGAAAACTGAATCAAAACCAAATTATAGAAAATCAAAATAACCGAAAGTAAAATTTTTAGTTCGGATTTTGGTTAAACCAAATTCCAATAATATATACAATATTATCTATTATATATATATATATACATATATATATATATTATAACATTTAATATATAATATATATTATGAAATCAAATTTCATTATATATTATATGTAACATATTGTATATTATATATTACATGTTATATAGCAAAGTTTGATTAATTCAATTTTTTTGGTTAACCGAATTTCTAATTCTAAAAACCGAAACCAAAATTTTCAAAAATCAAAATAACCAAAATAACTGAATCGAAAAAAGCAAAATCAAAATTTTCGATTCGGTTTTTTGGTTTTAACTGAATAATGCTCACCCCTATTCTAAACTGAGCTTTTTAGGATCAATAATAGTAATACTGAACCAGGTAATGTTAAATAAAAAATTAAAAATATAAGTATGGGGTCAATTTAGGTATTTTATTTGGATTTAGACTAATTATCTTTTAGATTATATATATAAAGAACCCATTTGGAAGAGATTATGCAATGATTGAGCTGTGTTGATAGAGCCACTTCTAAGAAGCTACGTACTATATCTTCACTTGAAAGTTGCCCATGTAAGCCTATTTTTGGTTCCCAGTTTTTTACCGAACAGGATTTCATGACTTTTTAGGTTTCTTGGCTGATACAACACGAGAAGGTGCTATGTGAACACTCTCCAAACAGGCACTAAGATCTCCATGAGCTGCAACTTCGGTGAATGCTTTTTGACATTTATGAAGCTTTAAGTTATTATTATATGACCCCATTAGAAAAAATTGCAGTATACGCCACTGGTTCTATAGAAGAACCATTAGAACAAAGGCATGCCTCAGACCTTGTTTTATAGGGTWAGATTGGAAGGGCATGTTAGGTTGAGCAAGTTTGTTTTTGGAGTGCAATTTTCATTTGTCTGGGTGTAAAATGCATGTAAATGCAAATGAGAAATTAATTCTTTCCAGGCCAAGTCCAATGCAGTGTAAACTTATCAAATTGGGCATTTGACTTGCACCCCTATTAGGAATGGAAACGGGGCAGGGATTATATTCCTCATTCCCAACCCTTATTTTAAAATAAATCTCCATCCTCAACCCCAATCCCATTGGGGATAAAAATTGTCCTCCATCCTGATCCTTGACGGAGTTGGGTTCCCCGTGAGGACTTGATTCACAAATAAATTATAATTAATAGTATTTTTTAAAATAAATTTACTTAAAATAAAGAAAAATTGTAAAATATAAATAATATTTTAAATATATTGTGATATATATAATATAAATAATACCATATATATTTAATATGAATAATACATATAATTGGGTTAGGGTGGGGCAGGGCTGGGATTTCATTTTCCATCCCACCAAAGCAATCTATAGTGCATCCACTGCACCATGCAACAACATGATTGGTTGAATGTGATGGTAAATACATATTATTAAACATAAAAAGTACATTTTATGAACCGGGTACTCAATGGGGATGGAGAAAATTGGTATCCCTAACCCTATTCTTAGGCGAAATCTATAATGCATCCACTGCACCATGCAACAATATGATTAGTTGAATGTAATGGTAAGTACACGTTATTAAACATAAAAGTACACTTTATGAAACACAAATCAGTGAAAATAAAGCAAGTGCTTTAATGTGATTGATTGATATCTGGATTTAACATGTAGTCAATATTAGTGAATGCATCATAGTTAAACTCCTATTTTTAATATTAAACTTAAGCAAAAAAAAAGATAAAGATAATGAGGGAAAATACCTTGAAGGGTTCATTATCAGATCGATAAATGATGCCTGGGACATCATGCAACCAGAATGGTAAACCTCTGCATCACMATAATACAGCTCAGTCATCAATTGCGCAAATACCGGTTTGCCCTTAAATCCATTTTGCTTGGTTTAACAGTTCAGGGAGGAAGCAAGGTGCCAACTAGCTGGTTGGTAAGGTCTCTTGCCTAGTCATAGCGGAGACTTGGGATTAAATTCCGCCTGCACCCTAGGTGGAGCGGGGGTTATGGGTTGGGGATGGGCTACCCCCATTGCTAGGCCCTTCAAATGATATATAAAAAAAAAGTTTTGGTAGAAAAAAAAAACTTTTCTCAACCAGTGTTAACAAGCTTGGAACTGACGAACCGGTTATCCAGTGAGTTTTCGGCCCCAAGTCTTTCACAATTCTTATAGACTGAATGGTCTAACTGGCCATTTAACCGGTCCTTTCCGGTTTATTTTCTGTGTGATCCAAATCTGACAACATTGTTCCCTTTTTTTCGCAAATCTGACAACATTGTTCTCAACTCTGTTGTCTTCTTTCATGAGAAAAGCAGCTTGAGGTAACCATTCTACACAGACCTGAGAGGATGCAACTCGGGTTGGCCCAAGTTAACATTTTGCACTGCTTTGTGCCCGAGTATTTGAATCAGGTCATCCAAATTTTGATAAAAGCCCAATTCGAGTCTGCCCAAAAGTTGTACCCCTACCAACCTATAAGCCTCTCAATTGCTCGGGTTGTATTTAAGGGTATAACTTTAGAATGCTTCGCTTGGGTTGAGCATTTGCTAAATTTGAATGAAAACATTCTGATACAGCGTAAATTCTTCATAACGTACCCGATTTGTGCAATTGCACTATTAAATGGATTGTGTTTGTGTTGGATTTTAATCTCATAAGTGATTAAATCCAATGGGTTTGATTGGTCAATTACATGAGAAATTGCACCTTGTACACTTGATTGAAAAATCAGTTTTTTCTCATATAAAAACCTAGTTTTGAACTTGTCCCACATTGGAAAATTATAAGTTTTGTTTTCAGTATTTCAATAGGAACTGATTTACACTCTTTAGAATTAGTAGAAGAGAGTATGGGGATTCGAYACCGCGCAACGCGCGCTCACACATGTGTGCACGTGTGTGCGGCGCAATGAGGCGCTTTAGAGGTGCACTTTGCTCGCACCCGTGTGGCTCGCGATGAGCGGCTTTGGTTTTGGTGCATTGCTGACCGTTGATCACCGTTGATGAGATCAACGGTCACGATTCGATCGGGTGTGATCAAGAGACATAATTCAAAGTTAACAGTCACTAACCATTAACTACTTTTTAAACAGTCACAATGTTTGAAATTGTGACTATTCAAGGTGCCTTCTCTAAACCAGCACTTACCTTTTCCTCATACATCTTCACAAATTATTTAAGGACTATGAATCAGACTCCAAATCACACAATTTTGAAATTCACTCTCTCTCTCTCTCTCTCTCAGTCCGGTCTGCTACAGTCTCATAGAAGGTTTCTTTGGAGACTCTTCAACTTTGCTGGTTGCAGATTCTCGCCCAAGGCTCTATTGTATCATGGGAACAAATTTGCCTGTAACCCAACAGCAAACTCAGCAAAACTGAGTGGGGGCAAATAACGTTCTAAAGACAGTGTCTTCAGATGCGCCTCAGAGCTTCTCCTCCAAAATTGCAGTGACCCCATATCTCCAACAGTTTGGTTACGATGCAAATAAATTTGTATTGGTGCAAAACCATGGCAGTGCAAATGATTTGAATGTAAATTCTGACCCATTTTTGTTTCAAATTTTAGTTTATTTTGTTTGATTGCAATATAAATGAAGTAAATTAAGATATGAAGTAGAATAAAGTAAAATCCCAAACAAAATTAAACAAGAATTTGCATTTTTTACTTTTGCACTCCCATGCATTTGGACTAGTGTAAATAAATTTGCACTACAACCAAACACAGTAGGCTCAGTTTAGAAAGAGTACAAATACAAATGTGTACAGTATAAATACATACAAAATATAAAGTTTTGCACTTTACATATTTGTATTTGTACTCCTTTCAAACTGAGCTTAAGGAAGGAATATAAATACAAATTTGTAGTGTGCAAAATCTTATACTTAGTATTATTTTGTATGTATTTATACTGTATATATTTGTATTTATACTCCTTCCCTGTTTACTATCAACGTTTTTTACCTAAAAGCTTAGTTTGAAAGGAATAAAAATATACAAAATCTTATATTTTATACGTATTTATACTCTTTCCAAACTGAGCCAAAAGGATAAATAATAACCTGAATTAGCTAAAAAGACAAATAAGCCCACGTGCGGCTGCAAAGAGTTATGAGGCGGGTGCAAATTGTGAGGAGGAAATCCGAATTTGGATAACATTTCGTATACAGAAAAATGAAAACAGCCCAAGTTTTTCCAATTGGATTGAGGCTCCTGACCTGAATCACGAACCTCACGTTTTGCTTGGGTTGGACAAGTTCGGCCAAACAACCAATAACACATTCCGCTTTTGTTTGTACTAAGACCAGACTGAACTGATTAGATTATGGATTCGGGTCGATGAGGTGCATCCGGGTCATGTTGGATGTTAAACTCCTTCAGTAAGTACACCCCGATATGAAAAATAAAAGGGTTGGGTGAATATTGAAGTCCAGGCAGCTCAGCCCAGGAATGGGCCCATTTATGGTGGGGTTCTAACATGCTTGCATGTGAGCCAGTATAAGACAAGTAGAAAACATTAGAATCAGTAAAGGAGTGAATACCCATAGCTCCATTCTGCTTCAATGTAGGGTCCGATTCTAAGGGTTGCATAGAGTCCTTGTGCTTGGATTTCCTTGATGAACCTCACCAGATCATATCTTCCTTCAAAATTATACTGTAAAATAGAACCATCGTTGGAACACATGCACGAATTCACATCTGCGCCCCACACAGCGCACCCCACATGCACATCTGAACCTGCATTGGGACCCGTATTTGTCATTGGGAGATGTTCCCAATGCATGGTTTGAATGTTCTGTGGGGCGATCTATGGGGTGCCAATGTAATTCCAGATATACGGGGACAGAGAAAGAACCTGCCCGGGTTGAGGCTCGTGTTGGCTCCAAAATACGTAGGTCTGTATTACGTCTAGTCCTCCCTCCTTGGCCTTAGATATGAGTGACGGCCACATCTGAGTTGCATCAATGGTGTTAAGTTTAGCTGTATTGTTTGGCTTTGGCTAGGAATAACAAAGACAAGAACCAATTCATAGATTTTGTGCCCAACAAAGAAAGAACCAGTCCAAGGATAGCCGGATCAATTTATTGCCAAGTGTATGTCAACTGGCGTTCAAGTGTTTTAAATAGAAACTAGCGGAGGGGCCCCGCAGGGGCTGTATTGGAATTGTAACATTGCTATTTATTACATTAAAAAAGACAATGATTTCTTAATAAAAACTTGCAATTATAAGTACTCAAGTCTTGAAACTCATATAAAGACTTAAAAGAAATCATCATATGCTTGGTTTTTAAATATTGCTTCAGCAAAGCATTTCATATAAGAACATGATCATACAATGATAGTTTTGAGTTCTACTTCATAGTTGTCATTTGTTTAACATTGAGAACTCCTAGTTGACCCAGATAGTAGGATCGTTCGGCCTGAGAGCCGTCCAGGCAACCGGTTCCGTTTTACTCCAAACCTGATCCCTAGCCAAAAACCATTTAATCGATCAACGACCCATTGACCTAGGCGATCGAACCACCAACCCGTTCAATTGTTTTTGGCCATTTTTTATTTTTAATTTTTTTTATTTTTGTTGTCAAAACGGGTTGTTCGTTCGAACTGGACGGTCGAACCATCGACCTAAAAACCGGTGGCCATAACAGTTTTGTTTCTAGGTCATTTTTTCTAGATGTCAATAATTAAACAAAATAACTTTGTAGTCATAATCATGGGAAGGGTGGACATTGCGAGGGATTCCAAAACCTTGAAAGATAAATCCAAAGTAACTTTAAACACAAAAAAAAATTGGCAGTAAATCCACCAAATTGAAAAACCCAAGGAAAAAAATCAAAAAAAATTGAGTAAGAAAATAAAAAAAAATATTGCACAAGAAAACCCAAAGAAAAAACAAAAGAGAAAAAATAAAATGATGGTAAACCCTAGACTATTTTGGAGGATCTTGAAGTAGAAGACCAAACAAAAAAAAAAGTAGAAAATGAGAAAAAAGTGAACATACTTTCGTCGAACCTCACACACTTGAATAAAGCCCACAAAAAAAAAAAAAAAAAAAAAACCTAGTTTTATGGGGCATAGATCCACTCCAATAGCTTCATAGGAACACAACAGTAAAATTGAAGCTAAGGGCATACAAAACTGTCTAACAAAGATGACGTTGAATTAATCCACAAAAAAAAAAAAAAAAAAAAAAAACCTTAGTGAAAATCCAAAAGCATAAAAAACAATGGTTTTCAAACCGTCGTTGACCCAAATGGTCAGACCATTCGGCTCGGGAACCGTCCAGGCAACCGATTCCATTTTACCCCAATCCTTATCCCTATCCAAAAACCGTTGAATCGATCAACGACCCATTAACCTGGGCAGTCAAATCATCGACCCGTTCAATAGTTTTTGGCCATTTTTTATTTTTTTAATCATTTAATAAATAATTATAATTTACCTAAAAGTTATATTTAAGACTGATTTTAATAATCATTTTTTTATCAATTTGTTGATTTCTTAAAAGTTGACCGATTAGACACCAAAATAGTCAACGATATATATATATATTGACTCACAATTCAATTTCAAAGTTCGAACAGAAAAGGGTTCTACACAAAAGGAACAAAAAAAAAGAGAGAAAGAAATAGAATGGTACTGGATTATGGTCACTGTTTCCCACTTTCCCCTCTTCATCTCCAACTCCAAGGCCCTTAACAGAGAGCTCGCATGAGTGGTATTACTAATCCTGATACTATGTAAAGGTCCAAGCCTATTTTTATCCAAACCCATGGGCTGGTCCTTACTTGGTCTTGGACCCAATAAGATCAACAAGATTTCAAGCAAGATATACATTAAGGTTGTGTTTGGGAAGAACTTTCCCTCAACTTTCTGTTTCTCGAATTTACCATCAAACCAAAAATAGCTGTTTCAGTTTGAAAAGAGTCTATACTAAATACAAATGGTTCAATGTAGGGTTTTAAAGGTGGGTGGGTGTGTGTATGAGAGAGAGAGAACAACTCCTAACTTGTGATTTTCTCTCCCCAAACCTTATCTTACCTTCTCAAAACAATGAGACTTGATTGATTTCTTTTGTTTTCATTTCTTAAGTTATAACTTAGCAACTTACTCTCACCTAAGACACTCTTCCTCCTCAAAGAATTTTAATGAATGGGTCAATAAAGTGTGAGACACAGGAAGGAGAAAGAAGAAGAAGGAAGAAGAGAAAGCTTGTGCTTTGATGAAATACCTCAGGAGTGCTACGAGGATAGTGAATAGAACCAGAGAAGAGCATCTTTTGCTGCCCATCGACGATCAGCGATCTTCCGTCGTAGCTAACACCGCCTCCTTGGACACCACTGGCAGCTCCCACCACCACTGCAGCCACCAACACAACCCAACACAACCACCAGACCATCTCTAACCCAAAGCAGAAGTCTCTGATCAATCCACAAACTTCAACTTCCCTAGCATTTTTCTTATCACTCATTCTCTCAGTTTATCTATAATCCTGTTTTTCTATCTCATTTCACCTCTCAAGCACTAGGGAAACAATCTCAAATGGCCCCTATTTGTACTCTTACATAACAAATACGTACACGTTTAACTAGCCCTCAAAACCTTCTATTCTAAAAACAATTTTCACGGAGCAAAAAGGAGTGCAGATCATAACTTACCAATTTGGGAGAGTTTGGTATATAGGCATTGACCTGCTTTCCTTGTAAGGGAGTAGGGGACAACGACAAGATGCTCTCTCGTTACTCAATAAGAGAAATGGAAAAGCTTAAGCCCTTGGATAACATACTTTGAACGTTACACGTCGCTGAGGAACAAGGAGGGACCGTGTGTTGTACTCCAACTTGGGTTTTTAGGGTTCAGATAGACCGCTCTCAATTGGCTGAACCAGCTTTCAAAGCTTATGTGTGTCCATATGGGAGGGCTTTTATGCCAAGGTTTTTAAAACTGAACTGGACAACAAGCCGTTCAGGGGTCTGGTTCTTAGGTCGAATGATCTAACTATTTGAACCAAACAGATGGCCCGTTCTAACAAAAAATAAAAATCGGCCAAAACCATTGGATGGTTCGAACAAATCGATCATCCGGGTGAACGGTTTGCTGACCAAATCAATGGTGTTTGGCCAAAAAGACGATTCTAGGGTAAAATAGAATTGTCTGGTTTTCCGGCCGACTGTCTAGTCCTGTCCGGTTTTGAAAACCATGTTTCATGCAGGGGCTTGCTTTGCAATGTAGGTCCCACATGGATAGCCAAAAATCTGGAAAGCTTAACTATGCTGTCACTCAGCCAAAAAAAAGGTTTCTTCAGTGAAGCTTGTTTTGATGGCTTCCTCATAGAGGTTCAGTGAAAGCAGCTCAATCAACGCTTCAGCCCTCCCAAAATGGGCCCATTGTTTGAGAGGGCTTTCAGGTTAGCTCTACCAGTCAAGGAAGTCAATAAGACCAAAGCTGATGGGAGGACTTTCGCAATGCTGCTTTTGTCTTTATGAGGTGGGGTCTTACCCAGAAAGCAATGTTTGGTGAAAATCTGGAGAACCCAAATTAACTATTTTCAGTCACTTAGATGGCTCTATGTTGAATCTTCTTTTGCTTACTTCAAAGCATGCTAGTTAAAGCAACTCAACCAAAGTTTAAGTCTTCCCAAACAGGGTCTAATTTGGTTTTTTCTTCTAGAAAAGCATTATTTTCAAATTTGTCACGTGCATTTGCATGTGCCAATAAAAACTTGGAAGTATTGGGCTATTGGCCTTATATGTTAAAAGATGCTTATTTGTAAACTATAAAATTCAGCTTTCCGAGTTTTCAGCAAGGCAAGATAGGTTTTTCATGTTTCTAGTACTTGTTTGAGAGGGTTTTCATTTAGCGGCTTTTGGCTATATAAGGTGGGTCACATCTGACAAAACCGCAAAATAATTATTTTACGGTAAAAAATATAGTTTCTTTTTTCGAAAATTTCTTACAACAACTTAATGAATTAAAAATGATTCTCAAAGCTTCAGCCCTCCCAAACAGGCCCTTAACCTGTTAACCAAATCTCGCTTGTGGGATTTTTCACAGTGAATTCCACCATCGGAAAGCCCAAAAGCCATGCGACAAATCACTTTACAAGACCAACCTATCTTATACCCGGTTCAGGCCTCCAACCGGATCAGACCAGCATACTACACCGACTGGTTTGACCTTATCTAACCCATTGGACAATGAACCCACAGCTCAAATATTTTATCACATAGAAGAAGATCCTAGCCATTGAATCAGCAGCCACTTTCTTCAAAATGAAGTGGAAGTACCTAATATCTGAATCATCCACTTTCTATGGAATGGCATTGAAGTACCCAACCACCTATACAACATCTTGTGGGGTGTCTTAGAGTGGTCAATAAGATCAAAATCACTTTCCTTTAATGGACTAAGTGCTAATATGACTTGGTTAGCAAACAACAAGATCTTATCCAAACGCAGCCTTGGCCATTATAGAATGTCTACATTGCTTTTCATTGCTTTTCAGGATATACAGCCAATGACGAGATCGGATTTGGTAGGCACACTTGGTGAGCACGTTCGGTAAATATAGAATTGTTTTGCTGACACATGTCCCATAAATGTGTTTAAATTGGATTGAAAAATAGTAAAAATTGATTTAAGCACTCATAATTTAATAATAAATATGGCATTAAATAGAATGGGATAACAAAACAAGATTATGAAAATGACCTTTATATAATTGTGATAAGGTTTAGATGATGATAATGCCAGAAAAAATGATTATGTGATTATTCAGTGTGCTCACCCAGTCTGCCCACAAGATTTAGACTAGCCGGTGATCTTAAATGGTTACTCACGAGTTCAAATCAGCCCCCACAATCATGTATTGGGAACATTTTTCGATGATAATATCAGAAATGATGATGTCATAATCAGGAGATGTTCCCAATAAACGGCGAAGATATACTGTGGGACATTGTGGGGGGCTGATTTAATCTCTTACTCGCATAACTCTCAAAGTAGAGGCACAAAATCAACCCCCTGCAGAACTGCAAATTACATCTACAATCTCATATTGAGAACATCTCTCTCTCGGTCAGCAGATTTGTACTCCCCAAAATACCCACGATATTTAATTACCTAACATTCATCTTATTTTTATGGACAATTTTGCCCATCCAATTCAAAGTACAATATTCTTTCTATTTAAGAAATATAATATCAAATATACCATTATGTATTTATTAGTAATAACGACTGATACTATGGGTTATTTTTGGTAGGTTAATAGGGTAAATACATTTTGTACTTTTTCTTATCTCAGATTATGTAAAACACACACTGAGAGGAAAAATCATATTGATATTTCCATTGTTGCATTGTTCCGCCTAAAACAATCGTTTTTCCTGATTTCTAAAGCATAAATACAACAGACACTCAATACCACAACCACAATACCAAACATCAAACATCCTCAATGTTTATTAGGTGTTTTCTTTCCTATAAATACAAATTGGATACCCATTTAAAGGATTTACATTGCATTTGGGCTTGAGGTGCTAATCCAGGTCCATTCAAATTCTAACAAAATACCAACCCAAGCCCACCAGACATGTGGAGGGCTTAACTAGTTTAGTGAAAAAAGGACCCTACAATCAAAATGGGTTGCATTTTACAGTCATATTTTCCCTTCTAGTATTGATAAAGTTACATGGTTGCTCCTATAGAAATTTGACTTTTCTTTTGTCCATTGTAATGAGATGGGCATTTCAGAAAATGCAATAGGTTTTTTAACATCATTTCATCTTGGGGCATCCTAATTATCCACTAAAAGGCGTAGCCAATGAGATGAGATTCCGGATATGCTGGCAATCTATTAGTAGGCTGCAACTTGAGCCAGCCCCATCTGGCCCAACCCAAGTTTTTTGCATGGGTTGGCTGCAGGCTAAGATTGGGTTAGAAAATTCAGGCCATATATATATATATATGTATGTATGTATGTATGTATGTATGTATTATAAAAGGTATGAATGAAGATGTGAAATTTTTTTGACTAAAATGCCCACATTTGTTATTTAGTCCATCTCTAATTATGAAGGTTGAAAAATGTAATTTTAATTCATGCTTGTCACTCATTTAATCCCCTCTCATTAACTCTTGTATTTAAGGTATTAACTCTCATTTCCTCTTATTAAATTCCATATTTGAGTTAATTTTCACTAATAAATGCTATTGATTAGGTCTATGCCCAATACGCTTAACAATATAAACCCATATATTTTAAAACTTACTCAAAAACAAAATCATTCTTTATCCAAGTGATAACTAAGCAATTAAACTATCCAAATCAAATTGGACAATCCATGAAGTCATAGTTAGATAACAAAATTTTAAAATAGAAATAGATATAGAAAAATAAACACATTTATGATATTTTTTATTAATTAAATTAAAAAATAAGTATAATAAATAATTATTATTTTTATTGATGATGAAAATGAAATACATAATCTAAAACTAATGAAAAAATGAAATTATTTTCCTATTTGGCAGATATCAATAGTTCAACTTTTAGGTCAAATATGTCAACCTTGAATATCATAATTAAATAATAAAAATTAATAAAATATAAAAAACAAATAAAAATACATAAATTTTATAAAAAAAACATTTGGGGACATGTATAATATCATATATTTAACATATTAAACAAAAATAAGTGTAAATAACAGTATTATTTTTACACACATGAAAATAAAAAAAATCTAGAAAATTTTGAATACATCTAAAACGTCATATTTACACTACTATTAAAATATGATTAAAATTGTGGAACTTTCTTTTGACTAAAATACCCAATTTTGAATTTAATCCTTATTTAATTGTGAAGTTTAAAATAAACAAATAAGTATACACTAAGAAGATAAAACATTACAAAAAGAATAGTCTAGCCCAATGGGTAAGTCTGCCAATGATACCCAAAACTTTGTAGTCCAATATGAGGTGCTTACGTAATTAGATCCAAATTTCTCAGACTACATCTAGTTAATAGTGAAAAACAAAAAAAATATAAAAAATAAAAAATACATGAATTTTATAAGAAATTTTGGATGCATTATTCTTATCATTATCATTATCTAAAATTGCCACGTGCAAAGCATGTGCATACTTACTAGTACTATATTTAAAAGTGGGAATGCAATGTGGAACTTTTCTGAACTAAAATTACCCTTTACTTCTTTGTTTGAGAAAGGGTATAAAAGTCATTTTATTACAGCTTTAATGCTAGTTTTTATGGCTACTAAAATGCCCATAATTGTGTATTTAGTTCATCTT